ATAAACGTTTGGTGAAAAATCAAACGCCATTTACTTCGGCAAAAGAAAGTAAAGACCAACCAACAATGGTTAAGGATAAAAAAGAAAGAAAGTAAAGACCTACCAACAATGGCTAACGATGATCTCAGTACTAACCTGATCCAGAATGGTCAGCGCATGGTCCTGTTGCTGATGATGCCGTACATCCAGAATGAAGTGTCCAATCAAATTTGTCATTGGTTGCTTGTCTCCAGGCCCCCAAAGTGTTGAAATCGGTGTTCATGCCTAAATGAATAGATTCCTTCATTATTATGACTACGATAAGTGCATAGGGATTTGAGTAAAGATTCAAGGCAAGAGACATGAAAATAGTCCCAGTCATCGACTAAATTGCTAGCTTACCTTGGACTGGTGGTTGGGTAGGTGGTTGAGGTGGCTGTGTTGGTGGTTGAGTGCCTATGAAAAGAAAATCTACATGTCAAGTTTTTCCAATTACAGTTGAGTAGTGCTGAACCGGCAAGGGTAACACAGTCAAGCAAAATGATGTATTAATATTTTAACCATTTCTTGATTGGAAAGAAATTCTTCTAAAGGGTTTTGGTGCTTACCTCCTAGTGTGTGCATGTCGATCCAGTTTCTAAACTTWGCAACTCTTCCGAATACTGTGTACATCTGTGAGGAATCACATCGAGAATTACCCCAGCTCACATCTCCCTGCAGTACCCATCGGCCAGCGGAATTCTTACACACATAAGGTCCACCGCTGTCACCATGACAACCGCTAATCTGAGTATTAGCCTTGCCACCACAAAGCATGACATCAGTGATAGTTATACCAATATTGCCATTCTTTCTCTTGCATTCGGCGTGGCTGATTGAAGGCATGTGTGCTTGTTGGAGGATGTGATGAGAGCTTCCAGGGTGTCTTATCTTACCCCAACCTGTCAACAACACAAATATACAAGAGCATGTTTTGAATGGTAAATAACCGTATCTTCTCTTCATCAATAATCAGTAACCTGAATATTTGTAAGTAGAAAATGGGCCAAGGATCTCTTGCTGATAGCAGTGATTCAGTTCAACTTACCAGTGATGTAGCAGTTGGATCCTGCAGGTAGATCGTAGTTGTGAGCAGGCAAGCATGCAAGGCCTACACGACTGTTCAGTGTAGCCTGTTTTTCCAGTTGTAGCAAGGCAATATCATTACTTAGTCGGGGATTGTTGTAGTTCGGATGAGATATGATTCTAATGACTTTAATGTCTTGTTCTGTTYCTTCTTGTACGCGACGGTTGTGATCACCGAGACGAACAAAGTACGCCGACGGGTTACTAAAAAAAATACAAAATAATTTTTCTTTACTTTGAAACTAGGTTTGTGATTCTTGTAGTAAGTGAGATACCTCTACAAGATAGAGGATAAGTTTAGTCAAATTAGAAAATAGATATTCATACTTGTTTGTTACACAGTGAGCTGCTGTTACCACCCAGTCCCTCTTGATTAAAGTACCACCACAGATGAACCCACCGTTACGATGAAGA